AGTACATAGAAAGAGAGACTGTACCGCTGAAAACGAAAATTTCATCAACACCCTTGGATTTGAGCTCTTCAGCTTGTGCAATGAAACCGGGAACATGCTTGGAACTGCAAAGGCAATTCAAGAAATCAAAAACCAACAAACCAGAAGGGTGAAGTTTTTAATTACAAACAAAAAAAGAATATAGAGTCTTTACTTGTAATAAGAGAAAATCTACTGTCTTCTAGTCACATAGCAAGCCTAGAGTGAAGCCTTCATAATAAGATTATTTAATTTCTAAAAATAAAATGCGCTCCCATTTTTTGGGGTTAGAATATATGAAATGAATCTTAGAAACACAGGCCAAGATAAAAGTAGAAACCCTAGATAAACCCTAGAAAATAGGCATAGATAAGATAAAACCTCAGAAGTAATAGGTTAAAAGATCAAGATAAGCCCCTGAAATAAGCCAGAAATCAATATAAACTCCTTGAAATTGCCAGAAATTCAGATCAAGAATTTAAATAATCCAAAAAATTAGGAAGAAAATAAAAGAATAAAGGTGAATTAGTCAGATAACTTAGATCGGCCCCATGAAATTCTATGGAAAAAAGAAGAAGAAGATGAAACCCAATAAAACATTAAAAGAACAAGATAAAACCCCATTCAGAATAACTAAGATAAACTGTATTAAGCATCATGAAACTAAGAGAAGCCATCTAAATCAAATCATAGAAACTCAGAGGAAAACAAAACTTTAAAATTAAAAGCCATTTAATGTGCCGTAAATCAAGATTATCCCACTAACGAAGCCGAAAACACAAGTAACTAGCTAGGAAATTTATCTAAACCAAGATAAATCAGCCAAAAAAGAAAAAGTTGCTAGCAAAACTAAGTGAAGAAAACCAACATAAACCCAATAAAAGTAGCAAAAAAGTAAATTTATAAAACATTAAAAATCCAAAACCATGAAAATAGCTGGAAAACCAACCAAAATCATGAAAAAAAAAAACAGAAAAAAAAACCCAAACATACAGAATCTCCTAAAAATTATCAAACCGCCAAATCAAAAAGCAACCCAACAAAATTTCATTCAGAAAAAAAGGACCAATATAACAAATTACAATAAAATAGGGTTGATATATAGAAATGCATTTACCTGCAAGTTGGAGTGAAAGCACCAGGAACTCCGACGAAAACCACCTTTTTTCCGGCGAATAGGGAGTGTACGGCCGCCTTCTGGAGAGAGTTATTTTCATCGAAAAATGAGAAGAAACCGTCGGGAATCGAGTCGCCAACCTTGATCGGAGACATTTTCCGGCGATGCGTAGTGACGTAAAATTCAGGGAGACGAGGGGTATTTATAGGATGGGTCTCAAACTTATGAAAGGGATTTAAATGAGATTTCAAGTCCGGAAAATATTATTATTGAAGAGGCAGGATATTTTCAGCCGCAGGCCGGAAACAGTACTCGAGAATCGAAACCTGATAGAACAGAATTAGCCGGACCGGTTCCGGTCCAGATCCAAAGGGACCTCACTTATTTTAAAAAAATGGAACGGTGACTAGAATGGCCCTTTTGGGGTAGAGATGGTGAAAGAAAAAGGTGATAAAGGATTTCCCATATGAAGACCTCTAGAGGCTTGAAAAAAAAACTTTCGGACACTCATCGATAAGCATCGAGAAATATGGAAAAGATAAATAATTATAAATCCAATTATATCATTTCTCCTCAAAATCTATTTTTTTCAAAACTTCTAATTGTATGCTCCGCTCAACCTTATCATAGACTTCTTCCATATCCAAGTTGATCACCTGGTTCTTTACTTTCAACTCTGGAGTAGATACATTCTTGACCCACAAGCACACTATCAGTTATCAACTTATTTTGGATAAAGACTGCTTGAGGTCCAGATATAACGCATCTCAACACCTTAAGTTTTATCGTCAAAATCTGAACAATAATTTTATACAAATTGGTCAACAAACTAATAGGTCTGATATCTGAGAGTTCTACAATAACAATTTTTTTAGGGACAAAAGCAATAAAAGTTTACTTTTATTTTGTTTAAAAAATAGTTTCGAAGGGCAGATCCATAATTTTGTTTAAAAAACAATTTTAAATATTTTTGATAGGTGCGAGTTATTTAGATGCATACGTACCCAAAATTGAATGAAATTGGGTTTTATGGATTAATAGAGTAAGAAATGTAAAACCAAGGCCACCTTCATTTTTTGGCCTATATAACCTGGAAGAAGCTGATACTAATATTCATCCTCAGCCCCATCACATAAGAATCTTTTCATTAGAGAGATTCAATTATATTAATAATTAGATATTCAATTATATTTATTATGATTATGAATAACTTTTTATAAATTTAATCTTTGATACAATAATTGCATTACAAAACAAGCATAAGGAAATAATATGTAATATAGGACTTAACTAAAATTAAATTTGTCGTTTTATTTATAGAATTCGAATTGGTTTTTGATAAAGTACATTTTTTCAGAAAATTAAGAAAATAATGCATTATCTTACTAAAATGATGTGACTCTATTGTCTTATTTGGACATTTTTTCAAGGCGAGTATATATACCCTCGAGACCATAGCACATGAGAGAAGCATTTGCCCTCGGGAGAGTATAGGACTATGGGACATTAACCAAAATTACTCCCAAAAAAATACAATTTCATAAAAAACTTTCCTTTGATTTTCATTTCAGGTGGCATGTTTACTTCACCGATACTTACCTCCACTGTACAAATTGTTCCATTTCCCAATTTTTTCAATAAATACCACCTATTAATATTCTGACACCTTTGCAATTCTGATCCATGAAAATTAGCTCACATATCCTCTCTCTTTTCTCTCTCTAAAACCCTAGCAGTCCCTCTTCTCTGCCTTGATGAATCCATTCATGGCTTCATCTCTGTAATATGGGCTCATCTTCTTGGCTCTGTATCCTCTACTTCTCTTCCATTTCGGATGTTGATTGTGTATGTTTTTCGGGTGGCAAGACTTATACAACAATGTCATCAAGAATGAGTTGGCGAATAGACCAGACCAATGAGAGGTTTGATCAATCTGATCACGAGTTGAATCGATTGGATTTGAAATTGAAAAAATAACAAAAACATTAAGAATAATTGTTTCATGTAGGCTGAACTACATTTCTAGAATATAAAGTCTAGAGGTATAAAGCATTTATCTTAAAGATGGATGCAAGTAGGTAGTCCATCCGACTAATAGACCAAATGTATGGGCTAAAATCAATATGTCACAACTATTAAGTCAAAGCGAAGCGATCTCTTGCTCCATGTTCTCCCTCAGGTTAAACCTAAACTAGGTTTATTCCTTGGATTCTAAATTTTGGGGATTTAACCTCTTAAACCTAGTAACCAAGCTTAAAAATAAATAAAATCTCATTCAGACCGGTGAGTGCCTTATTAAAACTGACGTCAAAATATTTAACAAGGGCCATTCAATTTTTGGATGGTCGTTTTACATCTGAAGTCCCATTTTTTTTCTGACAACAATCATATGCTAAAGTGGTTCCCAAAGCTATAAATTAAAAAGTGGTTCCAAAGCTATAAATTAAAAAAACTTCTCCTAAGCACCTTTGGCCCCAAAGGAGTAAGTTATAGTGCCTTACAAAACGAGCATGTTGTATGCTTTCTAAACTACATGTAAAAATTAATGTTTTAAAAATTAGATTGGTAGGTCACAAAAAGAGCATGTTGTATGCTTTCTAAACTACATGTAAAAATTAATGTTTTAAAAATTAGATTGGTAGGTCAAATCAATCACCTTCACCCGTACCCATTTGAATTTGAAGATCGGATGGAATTCAAAGAAAATAATAAAACTGTAAAATTTTAATCTTAGTTGTTTACAAATTTTAAGTATTCATGTGACATTAATACTCACAGCATAAAAGTTTTTGGCCCGAGTCCCTATTCTTTGAGAGAATCGAACCAATCTTCTACTGTTCGGGAAAATCAGGCGATCTAGTCCACTATTCGAATTAATGGTAAAATTACAAGTCTAGCCAACCCAACATCAAAACTTCCACTCAACTCACAGACTGCAGATGTTCGTTATATGGACTAAAAATCATACTATATTTATTGATGGATCATATGAAAAATCATCATATTCTTAGATCTAAATATATTTTGGTATCCATCTTTAACGAGTATTTTCCAAAGTAAATTGGAATTTGGCTATTTGACAACACAAAATTTAATGTCCAAAAATTGCACGGCATCCATGGAATATCATAAAATCGTTTTTATTGACGTAAATATTTGGATTTTTGTTTTGAGGTCGCAAATAAGGTTACAACTCCATTGCATATAAGCATAGATTTGAAATTCTGCAATCCTTTCTTAGGTTTTCCACTGTCAAGATTTTGACATCGGCTTGGGTGGAGCACATTTTGGATGTGATAGAATCTCCTCTGTGCATGATGCCAATAAGTTATATACATGACTATCACTACAAAACACCTTTACTATTGGAATCCAAGTCAATCCATCTTCTTTTTATTGCAAGAAAATAACCAGTGGAGCTCATGTTGTAGCTTTTGACATGCCTCTATTTCATTGTCCTTTGATGCCCTTCTGAAGCAAGGGATTCAAATAGCTTGCAGCCCCTCTCTTCCACCACCTCTGCCCCTCTAACTTCAGGCCTTGAAGCCACCATGCTCAGCATAGAGTATTCTTTTTTAATGTCGTGTATCCCAACCATAGACCTTTCCGAAAGTATGTTTTCTCACCAATGACCTGAATTTGTACACTGCTCATGAAGCTTAAACAGCAGTCTATTCATCCATTCCATGCCCCCTTTTTTCCGATGAGATCTAATAAACCTTCCAGTTTTATCTCGCTTGAAAGACCCATGGAGACCTCACGAGATGCTAATCAGTGGCAGACAGTGCGACTCTTCTCATACCACAGAAAAAATCACCAGTCACAACTCATAAAGACAAATATGCAATAGATGTCAGCTTCTGGAAAACAAGAAAACCCCTTATCAATATAGAGGGACCACAACACTTTCTCCGCCCTTTAAAGAAAACTTTGGCTCTTCTATCATCCACAAACTTATTCAGATCTCAGGAGCTCATTTCTAGAGTCACATCCCACCCCAAGTCTCCTAATGCCACTAATTATTTTTCTTCATTGTGGCTAATAAAACAATCTCCTAATGCCACTAGTGGAAATAAAACAATCTCCTAATGCCACTAATTATTTTCCTTCATTGTGGCTAATGGTTAGCACTTTCTTTGTTACGATGACAGTACATATTCCCCGGTTCATCAAAACCTTGTTTTTTTGCCTTTTCTATTCAATTTTTCCCAATCTCCCTCCTCTTCACAATCAAGTTCCAACCTTTTCTACTCCTTTGGCAAAGATATGGCCAAAGGCTAGTCAGCTTAGGTTACAATAAAATAATGATACAGAAGACCGTGTGTAACCACTAATGAAGTGGCTGTATATTGCAAAGGTCCGGATCAGAGGAAAAATTGTTGGGGATCTTCCAGGGATCCATCTTTCTGAAAGTTATTGAGATCCTGCAAAATCAAAATTTGGGGGTGTTAAGAGCTTTGATGCTAAATACAGTTTGCTGAATTTTTCAAATCAATCGAATTCGGAAGTTTAGGTTTCAAAATCGAATAGTGGAGCACCACAATGTTAGCTGTGTTCTAACTTCTTCCAAGTATGTTTAACGATTCTGCATGTTTTTTCTAAGCATGTTGTTTTTAAGTATGTTTTCCATTTGCCTGAAATATAGTTCTTGTTTCTTCATTTATAAAATGAGAAAAAAAAAAAAAAGGGACGAAAGCACGTTTCTATTTACATTAAAGGCTTATTTCTGCAATTTTAGAGGAACTTTTAAATGCAAAACACATAATTAGAATTGACATAAATTACCTCTTTGCCAGAACACCCGGAACAGAGTGCTTGGCCACATCAGCACTGTTGCCATTCAAGATGAGCACTGATCTGTATGAGGAACAGAAATAATCAGTTACATAAATAACACATAATCAATATTGATCTTGAACAGAAATAATCAGTTGCATAACTAACAAATAGCTCAAGTGTCGAGGAAAAAATATTTTACACACTAAAAAGAAAAAAATCCGCCAAGTAACATCACCTATCCCCAAATAAAAACTAGTTACCATTTCTTTACACCCCTACTGAGCACAATATTCACTGTTGGGCAACAAGCTAGGGGGCAAACTCTTGATTTCTACCCAATCAATTAACAAAAAAACTTATAATAAAGATGAAAAAGGACACACTACATTGTTTCCAAAGAAATGCAACAAATTGTAAGCATACCCGACAGGCAAAGGGATCGAAAATGAACCAGCAAAATCTCCTGGTCCCACAATTTTCAGGTTAGCACCAAAAACTATGTTGCATTCACTGAGGAATGACACCGTGCAAAAAGGGCGGACAAAGTCATGGTGGTCAATATGGGGTGGTATACAATCTCCTTCTTCGTAGATGTTAACGATGCAGCTGTTGGGAATACAATCCGTAGGAAGGACATGCCACCTGACCATTGTTTTGATCATTGTTTTGAAGAGGGGAGGAATGGGGTCCACTTCCTCGTTACGAATGATGCCTGGTGGGTTCCCATTCTTATCCTGCTCAAAGAAGATTCATATAATGTCATTATGTCAAAGTTTCTAATGTGTAGTATTCTCTTAATTACATTTAGAAGAACGTTAACTCGTGAAAAGATTATTCTCTAAAATATAGTATACTCTATATTTACCACTGCATAATTGTAGCAGCAACCAAATTGCATGGTCACACGCCCCTTCCCACGCATCCATTTCCGTGGTTGTGAATAAGTTCGCTCTGAAAAGAAAAATGTAAATGGCTTAGTATATATCATACAAACCATGGCCACTGTGCCAAGCCATTAATAACACTAAAAATTAATAAATGCCATTTAGGAGAAAAAACAATCATCAGAAATTAAAATTTCTAAAAGCCACATACATGGAATTCCAAAAATCTGACTTGTGTACATTAAATGTAGTATTATATGAAAATTCTTTCTCTTTGCTTGCAGAATTTTTCCACAGGGCATTAGCATGAAATATGGCACTGACTCTCTGGGATATGAAACCATAATCCAATATAAAGAAAATTTGGATGATAATATCCTACATACATCTAAGCTAATGAGATAAATATAAGTTGTAGAAGTAAATCAGACAAGATACATCTAAGTTATAGAAGTAAATGAATATCATTGCCAAATCAACCTTTAGAAGAACAAAATTATGCATATAGTGGAGCTAACCATGACAAACGCCCAACAATAACCATATATCTTTTGTAACATGAATGATAAATTTTTTGCCAGCTTCCCAAAGTGAATCTGCCAAAACACTCCAGATTTCAAATGATAGTACAAATGCTGAATGTACAATTTGTCCAGAGGAATTTAGATGCCCAGTTAATTGGCATCACACCTGTTATCAGGTGCCAACAAAACATTGGAAAGGCAGAAAAATACAGTGCCAGAGCACCTCTGTTTCTAAATGTGGACATGGCCCTTAAACCAGGCATGGCCCAGGTACTCTGCAAAGTCCGAATAAGACACGCTAGGTCTGCTGAGACTTGACCAGTTCCCAATGATTTCATATGAACATGACATCCTGCCAGGTCCAAGTGACTGACCCAAGTCTGAGTCAAACTCAGCAAGTCTTAAAAACACTGTGCCACTAAAGATGTCATAGGATTCCTATGAGAATATGATTATAAAAATCAACCAATAACATATGTGTCTTCCACAAGTCTTCCAAATGAGGAAACTATGAGCAACTAGTGTGGTGACAAATGGGGAGCAAGGAAACATAGGTGGGGAGTGGGGGAGATAAGAACAAGAGCGTTACGGAATGACTGGGTGCTTGGGATATTTATTGGAAATTAAGGGGAACCTGGACTTAAAAAAACGAGGCATGAATAAATAATCACAAGAATCCCATTGATTTAAGTATGTGCAAAAATATCTTCTACAAGAATTTACTTTTTGTACTCCTATTTGCTTGTAATGTTGTTGTTTCCCAGTGAGACTTAGGGCAAGGGGTGACAGAACACTAGAATGAACAGCATGATGGGTGACATGAACGAAGGGTGACTTATTGTATTCTCATATGCTCCATACAGGTACACACAATAAAATGAAGAAAAACAATTTACCCAGTAGATACACTGTAAAATAGCACAGAAAATACAACATGAAGTCCTAAAAATTGGAATCATATATTTTCCCTTTCTGCCCATAAGTAACAATGCCTAATGTGAAGGGATGTGTACATTGGTATGCAGCAAGTGCAAACAAGGCATAGTTCATTGAGAAAGGATAAAACAATAAGAGCCCACATAGTTCCCTTGGGAAAATGATCTACTCAGGAAATTGAGGGACCTCCTTAAGAATCATCAGATGAAAAAAAAGAAAAAGAAATAAAAAGAAAGGATTTTGAGTTTTTAAACACTTAAACCTGACCATCCAAAAACTAGACGGTCTATTTAGAATATGAGGATGTTATTTTTTTCAGACACATAAAAAGTGTCGTCTCCCCGTCCCCCCCCCCCCTATAAAGTTGGTTGTTAGGTTGAAGAGTTTAGGTCCCCAAAATTTGGGATCCTACAAATACTCCTAGATTGGGTTTTACTTGAAGGAGTGAATGGAGGAATGCACCCAATGGAGCATAGAATCTTTTGACAAAAATAAAGATACATTCAAATGATTATACATAAGTCAGACACATTCAAACGATTATATAGATCTCAGATTCCTTTGTTGGATGGCTGTCACCAATACGCCATGAGTCTATTTATGCTGAATTCATCAATATGTACACTGTGGCTCTACATTGCCGGAGAACAAAAGGCTATGGAAGTAGTTGCTCCAACATTAAAAATATATAGATAAACATAACTCTAACACCAGGAACTACACATATCATATATCATACAACTCTATGCTACCACACAAAAACATCGAAACCATAGAGAGTAAGTAAGAGGCATACCCCTTAGTTCATTTTTCCTCCCCATCTCTTGAAGGCTGTAAACATAATCAACAATGGTCTTCTGTTCAGTAGCGTTGAAAACACAAGTGTGCAGCTCCAGTCCCTTGACAATGTTAACCAGTTTCCCATTGATCCTTTCCAAGGATATATAGTCCTTTTTCCTTACCACTTGCGTAAATCGAATCCACTCTCTCTCATCTCTCATCAATGAACTCTTGTTTTGAACTTCAGAGTTGAGTGATTCATCAAATTCCTTTGTCTGGGACTGCCCACTTCTATCCTTCATGTCTCACCCATGAACAACCCGACAGTCCCTATAGCTGCTACCTTCTAACAAGGAGAGAGAGGTTTCTCCTGAATGCGTATGAACGCTAGAACCAGATGTGTTGGTTGAGCTTTCATCAAATTCCTCTGTCTGGGAAACATGCCATTTCTACGCCTCGTTCCTCGCCAATGAGCAACCCGATGGTCCCTATAGTTGGTACCTTCTAAGGAGGAAAGAGAGGCTTCTCCTGAGGGTGTAGGAACCCTAGAACCAGATGTGTTGGTTGAGCTTTTGTATGATTTCCTAAAGTTCCCATTTGACTGGCTATTGGAGTTCCTATCCAACAAAGTCAAACTTGAAGAAGCTGCAACTAAGTACCTCTGATCCTTACAAAAATGTCCATTTGATAATGAATCTTGATCCAATTTCCCTATAAAATATAAAGAAAGGAATCAATTAACCAAAACAGCAGATAAACATCAGAAGACTATGAAGAAAATTGTGAAGGACCGTTAAAATATAAAGAACAATAATTATCCAGAAAAAACACCCCAGAAGATCACAAACTAAGGTACCCCACACACAAGTGAGATTACTTTTTATAGACTACAGATACTGCTCCTTCCTAGGCAAAATCTGAAAGAAGGATTGAAAAGATAGAAACAAAAACCCAACCCAGCAACGCAAACCGTAAAAAAATCAACCAAAGGAAGAAAACCCTAATTTTCTCTGCATGTTAAGAAAGCAAATCCTAATTCAACGAAAGAAAAGCAAATCCTAATTCAACGAAAGAAGCACTCACCAGAAGCCAACTGACGAATACGATCTGACAAAATCTCTGCGCACCTCCTGCAAAGGCCTTCAGTGAGAAAGGGAATAAACTGAGCCAAAGATTGGCTTGAGTCATGAGTCCCTACGGACTTCCCGCTTTTCAGAGCCATTCTCGTAAGAGAGAAAGAAGATGAGAGAGATTGTAGAGAGAGATTGCAGAGAGAGAGAAAGAAGATTGCAGAGAGAGATAAAGAAGATGAGAGGGATTGTAGAGAGAGAGAGAGAGAATAGTAGATGCCTCGATGGTCATCTATAACGGCTACCGCGTAACCGTTAACATCTGTCCGTCCGATCTTAATCGGACGATTTCATTCAAATAGCGCCCGCGCATAAGATTATTTCCCCCCGAAAAAGGCGCGTACTCTCTCTCTGTAGAAATAGTGATTATCTCTTACTCCCCCTACTTTCTTTCTCTCTCCTCCTTTTATCTTTTCCGATGTCTTTAGTTTCTCTCTCTTCCCTTATTTTTCCTCTCTCTACTTCTGCCACCCTCTCAAGTATTATCTCTCTCCCCCTTCTACCATGTCAATCTCTCTCTATCTTTTCCATATCACTATTTTATTTTTATTTTTAAAAAATTTTAACTTCTCAGTTGTTTATAAAAAAAAAAATTGATTATGTTTCAGTAAGGTTGCAACCCTAAACGATCCAAAGCGCACCTTCAAATTTGGTTATAATATTATGTAAAATTTTATCTCAAAATCTATTTTTATATCTAATTATAAAATTAAAAAAATGAAATCTACCCAAAATTTTCATCCCCATTGACCCCTTGGGATCACCAAAGTACCTTTTAAGTTTTAAAAACATTAGATCCATTAGCCCCGTAATTATGTTTTTTTCTTGTTCTTTTTATAAATTTGATCATAAAATGGCAAACACATACATAAGACATCCGTATTTTAATATATGTTTTTTGGTGAGTTGATATACAAATTTTATTGATGATGATGATTATGATGATAATAATAAGAACAACAATTATAATTAATAACTGCAACAATATATTAATTGTCAAATAATTCATCTCATATAGGTATTTTGAGAAAAAAATTTAATTAAATGAATCAATAAATAATAATAATCCATCAACAATAGTAATAAACATCTTGATTAATCATTTTCCAAGTTCAAAAGATATTGATGCAGTTGCAAAATAGGTCATAATATTTAAAAAATCATTTTCTTTTCATGTCTAAATTTATAGAGTGGTGTCTACGGACGTAAGATTGGTTTTAGGCAAAAAAGAGAAAGGAAAGGACGTTAACTAATGGAAGGGTTTGGCATTTTGTAAATTTAAAATATCAAAATTGTAAAAAAACAAAGAAAAACATAATTAGGGTATAAAGGTCTCAAAATTTTAAACTTGTAGAGGTACAAGGGATTTTGGTAAACCGAATGGGCTAATAGGGATGGAAATTTCGGTGAGGGGGGTAAATGTTATTTTCTATATAAAATTTTAAACTTCAAAAAGGGTTAAAATCAAATAGATCCATAAACTTATGAAAAATTTGAAAATGGACGGTCTAGATAATGTGTTGTAAGATACATTATTTTTGGGACTCAAAATCCTTTTTTCTTTCATAATCATACATCTTGATGTCGAGATGCTCAATTAGAGCGTTTTCAACATTAAAATAACATTTTCTAATGGATTTTTAGAGCGTTTTTCAACATTAAAATAACCTTTTTTGATGGATTTTTGAGGTGCATCCGTAGTACTGCATTTTTAGGTTGCAACCTTATATAAACTTATTTCATAAGGTTGCTACCTTAAAACGTAGAATTAAAGATGCACCTCAAAAATTTATCGAAAAAAGTTGTTTAAATGTAGAAAAACCCTCTAATTGATCATCTCAACATCTAGATGTATGAATATGAAAAATAAATAAATTTGAGTCCTAAAAATAGTGCATCTTGCGACACATTATCTAGACTATCTATCTTCAATATTTTCATATGTTTATAGATCTACTTTAAATTAACTATTTTTTGAATTTGAAATTTTATAATTAAATGAGAAAATATATTTTCACATAATCCTAAAAAAAAGTAAACGAAAATTACATGTTATGATAAAATTGGGAGGTGCGTCTTAAATGGATGGTTTAAAGTTGCAACCTAATTGAAGATGAAAATAAATGTTAAGCCCATCACGAAGATTTTGATACCGAAACAACATATTCCGACATTATTTAAAGGTGTGTCGTACTTTGATTGTTTAAGACCTCAACCTTATACAAACGACATCCTTTATAAAATGGCAGGGAAATAGATTTCCTTCCTCTGCTCCCTCCAATTTACATCTCTATCTCTCTCTCTCTGTGTTGTAGAATTAATCATATGCAATGGATGATAAATATTACAACTATTATTGTTATGGGATTGTATTCTATGGGACGGTTTATTCTTGAAATTCACTATAAAATTTTGGATTAACTTTCGTGCAATGTTTTTCTTTTTAAAACCTCCGTCTTTAGTTTCATACGTTGAAACTTTCTTTTACTAAGCTTAGAAAGAATTTTCAGTGCCAAGATGAGAGAATTTTCAATAATATTTTTAGCAAATATTTTGGTGCATGGAATAGTGAATTTTAAAAAACCCTTTGAATTTTTTAGTAAACAATTTGGTTGTCTTAGAATGATGCAAGTCAGAGATTCCATCTGCATTTTCAAATAAATTATTCCATTGTGATTCTTCATTTATTGCTTGGAGTGTTTAATTTTGGAGATTTCAATTGCATTTAGCACTAAATTATTTGATACCGATCCCTTCAGTTGCTTTTTCAGTGTTGATTGTGATTCTTTTAGGATAGAACAAGATTTCGCTGATCCACTGGATCTACACCATTTGTTTTAGCTTTAAATTTCATAATCTTGCCGAAAACCTTACACAAGTACTTATGGCATGAGAACTTCATTTCTCATCAAGGGTTCAATGTGCAGCTTCATGAAATATCGTAAAACCGTAGCGTTATGTGATATTATTTTATTTTAAATATGAACATGTCATTGTCTAAAAGGCCAATTTCAAAATTGAACTAGGCATTTTGACGCTCATATTTGTATTACTCATACACACATCTGTTCGTTTTGTACTCTATCACAGACACACAAATTTACAACCCCTAGCATGGCGAACTTTCCCGGTTTGTGCAACCAGAGAAGCAGACAAGAGACCTTGGTAGATTCCATAGGGAAATTGCCATGGAACTATGGTATGCAAAGATTCAGAGGCAATCTCTTTTCTAATCACTCCCAGACTCATTTCTCTCATTTCCAAGCAAACCTTATTCACCATAAGACCTGAAAATCAAATTTGATTTATTCAAAAAAATAGTCAAATATTTCCTAAATAATCAATCTTCTGAGCTCTACTTATGGAAGAAGAAGAATTGCATCCATCTAATAACAAGAGACTAAAGTCTTGGCAAAGGTATCTTCTAAACTGAGCTCTCAGGTTAATCTCATAAAGCATCAGGCATCAGCGCTGGGGGTCTTTACAATGAAATTCTGCCGACTTATTGGGTTTATCACCACAGGTGGGCCTGCAGTGCGAGGCCAAGCTTGAAATTTCTTGTCAGTTTCTTCCCACCATTCTGTACTAGTCATGGTTTTCGGCGTGGTCCCTGGTTATGAACACAAAATCAGTGAACATGACGAGCATGAAGGATATTGGGAGAAATCTCTCCCTCTCTCTATCTCTCTCTCTCTCAGTGAACATGATAAGCATGAAGAATATTGGGAGAAATACTCTCTCTCTCTCTCTCTCTCTCTCTCTCTCTCTCTCTCTCACACACACACACGCACACACACATATTACAACTACATTTGACACAAATTATCTGGATTTTCCGGAAGATACACAAAGTCACTCTCTCTCTATCTCACTCACACAAACACAAGAGACAGGTTCTCTCTCTTCTCTCACACAAACAATCGTCCCTCTACTCTCTCTCACTCACACACATACACATACACAAAGGTTATCTCTCTTCTATCACACAACCATCCTTCTTCTCATCTCTCTCTTGCACACAAACACATGCGTGCGCATAGCATAGGGAAAGACAGCAACAAACTAACCTCCAAATAGCTTCTTATCAGCAAGGAAGTGATCCACTGTGAAGGCAAGTACACCAGAACCAACTACAGCCAGGATGATCGACTTGGCAGTCATTTTCAAACTGCAGAAACAAACAAATTATAAAAATATAAATAACAAGAAACAACGAAGGATTCGCACTTTATGACATGTCCAAAGGAGAAGTAATTCTGATCTTCTAAAGCAGGCCAGGAGTTACGAATTCATAAACATATTTTGGAATTTGGATTCATATAGTGTAAGCACTAATAACATGATGACTCCAAGAGAGAGACTTCCAATGGAATTTTAATCTTGCTCAAATATTTTAGAAATAACACCTTGGCATACCCAATAATGGTGGCCATTTCTTGCATATTATTCCCGACTCTGATTGATATGTATATAAGACAGACAAATGGTCCACAATGCAAAAGCTGCTATTTGATGAGAAAGTTTTGTGATTTGTTGGATTCTGTTTAGTTTCAAAATGTTCTGTTTGTTATAAGGAACAATAGGTATGATTATGAAATAATGCATATCTTGCCCATCTCAACTGGTCAGTTTATTCTGTTCTGCCATGAAATGGCCCCTAAATTTTCAAAGAAAGAAATTTATAGTGCTGGACTAGGCAGAGTGGATTTAAACTCACACAACACCAAGCAGGCCAAATAACACCGATATGTTAATAGGCCTGAAATCAGCAAATTAGGTGTTCAACATTGTAAAAAATCAAAAAAATAAAAAAAAAATTTACTCAAAAGGGATAAAAAGCAAACGAAAGCTATAAAAGCATTGAAGTATATAAAAGACAGAACAAATTACATATAAGATGGAATATGTAAAAAAATTTCAAAAAGGGAAAAATAGAGAGCTTATAATATGAAAAATTCACAAATCACAGTAAAAAACATACAAATTATATAGAAATGCATTTACAAACCATCGATTAATGATTTAGTAGTATTACTTTTATAGAGACAATAGAATTTCTGTAACCCCGAGTTTGTATGTAAAACTCGCCCCGGCATCCTGCCAAGGACGTGTTACTCAGCGGAGTTTGAGTCGACTCAGCGAAGTTTTAAGACACTGGTAAACATATACAACAAAAACATGGTTTTAATTCAATAGTGAGTGGCATAATATCAAACTAACTTTATATTGGATATTATTCAAAATGGATCTGATATTGTCAGCTGGCTTATCAGAATAGATTGACCTTCACTGATTAAGTAATCAAAGTTTCAGTAACACAATAAAACACTTGCTAGAGCATATGCAATATTTCGAAATTTGCAATTAGACCTCCAATTCCACTTGCATTACTACTTTTTACCCATTGGTTGTACAATAACATCAGCTACCGCCAGTGGCTTCTGTTCCGGAGCTAAATTATCTAAATTATAGAAGTGTTCTTATAAATTTCCTATCTGTTTTCATTTTTCTGATCAGTATATGTCCATATAAATAATGTCTTCACAATTAACAGACCCCACAAATGACAGACCCCACAAATGAGAGTCCTCAGAGTCAATTTGATTGAGTCTATTGACTCAGGAGTGCTCAATCCCTATCTTATTTTGGGCTAAATTTCATTAATATCAAAAGATGATGTACAAGTAAGTGTATATCCTTTCCTTACAAAATGGAGTCCATGTACACCAGACTCTACAAGATCTTAACCAAAGCTTCTAAAAGTCGAACACTACTAGACAGGATGTAGTTACCCCTTCTCTAGCCAGCACATCCACTCCTTCATTACTCACCATGAATGTAAAGGTCGCCCTTAACTTTGCAAAATGTTCCAAGATTTTTTAGACCATTGTTTAGCTGCCAAGGGTAGCATTTTATAAGTCCCCCACTATGCATATTGCTCCCCTTCTCTTCTTCAGAAGTCTTAGCCCAATAAGCATTCAGCAAATCCTCACCTCCTTTGGCTTGCAAGCGTAAAGGCCCATAGGAAGTCATTAACATCTTCCCATGGTGGTCCCTGAGCAGGCCTCCAATACCGACAGGCCCTTGTCCTCATATTGAGCTAGCATCAAAATTAGTTTAAGTCACCCTCCAGGGAGGTACCATTTGTTGGACCCAACATCTTTTCAAAATCTGTTCTGCCAATCTTCTTCCAATGTGTTTTAAAATCCCTAACAGCCTATCCTTACTCTTTCTTGATCTAGCCTATGGCATATAAGTTATGTTCTCCTTTATATCTTCCACCTCCTCCTTTTTATCCTAAACATCATGTTGTTCCTTTCAAGCCATATAAGCCACAACATCATTAAAATTTTTGGCCCCCATACAATAAGTGCCGACAACTCACTCAAGAGGGCCTCCACAGAGGCTGCCGATACTCATTTGAAATCAAATAGACTTAATGCAAAAGACCAAATAATTGTTGCAAAGGATCCAGGCAAAAAAGATGACTTAGACTTACTGATTCCATTGCTTCCTTGCATATAGGCATACATGTGAAATTCTGCATTCCTTTCGTTCTTAGGTTGTCCACTGTCATGATTTTGTTCGACAAGACATCCAAGGGCCCTCGTTTTTAGAGGGCTTGGGTGGACCACACTCTGGATGTGATAGAATCTCCTCTGTGCATGATGCCAATAAGCTATATACATGAATATCACTACAAACACCTTTACAATTGGAATCCAAATCAATCCATCTTGTTTTTATTGCAAGAAAATAACCAGTGGAGCTCATGTTGTAGCTTTTGACATGCCTCTATTTCTTCGTCCTTTGATGCCCTTCTGAAACAAGGGATTCAAATAGCTTGCAGCCCCTCTCTGCCACTGTAACTGCAGGCCTTGAAGCCACCATGCTTAGCATAGAGTATTCTTTTTTAATATAGTGTAGCCTAACCATGAGCCCTTCCGAAATTATGTTTTCTCACCAATGACCTGCATTCGTACTCCGCTCATGAAGCCTAAACAGCAGTCTATTCATCCATTCCATGCACCTGAGCACCTGAGAATCCCCCTTTTATCCGATGAGATCTAAGAAACCTTCCACTTTCATCTACCCCATAATCTCCAGCCACAATTCATAAAGACAAATATGCAATGGAAGCCAGCTTCCGGAAAACAAGAAAAAACGCCTTCTCAATGTAGAGACCCCAACACTTTCTCCGCCCTTTAAATAAAAATTTGGCTCCCCTATCATCCACAAGCTTAATCAGATCTCAGGAGCTCATTTCTAGACTCACATCCCACCCCAAGTCTATAATGCATAACTAGTGGAAATAAAAAAAATTCCAAATGCCACTAATTATTTTTCTTCTTTATGGCTAATGGTTAGCACTTTCTATGTTATAGTACTTATTCTTAGCTCCAGCCATCTCATCACTATGAAAATACATATTCTCCCGTCCATCAAACCCTTGTTTTTTTGCCTTTTCGATTCGGAACGATGTCAATTTTTCCCAATCTCCCTCCTCTTCACACTCAAATTCCAACCTTCTCTACTCCTCAGGCAAAGATATGGCCAAAGGCCAGTCATCTTAGGTTATATCTCTTAAATTACAATGCTTAATGCTTGGCTCCTCCTAGCTAGTCTTCAAATGACAATGCAAAGGGTCAAAAGTCCCAGTCACAATAGTATCCTGCTTGAATAGGTTTCAGGACTTCCAGGAAGAGGCATCAATACTTCTAAGAGGTGCTTATTTAGGACTATGAGTGTTTTCTGACAAATTTCCTCATTTTCTGAACAATGAAAATCTCAACTAGTCCTGTACATTATAAACCTGTAGTATGATGTCATGTATGTACAAGATGGTAACAATATATTTCAACACACATTTTATCAAGCATGCAAGCTGTTATAAAAAAATAAGGAGATTTTTCCTGCCTTACAGCTGACAAGTAAAATGTAAAGCTATTAGGATGATTCAAATTATATTCAAATATGTCAATCAATAATTCTGATTTCCAGACATGCCAAATCCTATAAGCATGCGATTGAAGAAAAAATAAAGACCAGAAATCCATATGTACATGTAGAAGAATCCAACAAAACAGAGAAGTTGGTTCTATTAATCATAAGTCCACTGCAGAAAAGCAAATGCCAATAAGCAATCGATCCAGCCTCAGTAAATGAGATCCATTTTATGTTTCCAACTCACTCAAATGTACAAAGCATCATCCTTAATCTTTAAATTCCAATTTGTGAGGTGAACCAGGGATCCCTTGGGTGGTCTATAATATTAAAATACTTTAACCAATTGTTTTCACATCCATCATTTTGTCAGGAAATTAAGCTAGAAAATCAGGAAAAAAAACACTATCTCCAGATAACAGGATCTGGAGATGCATGACTCTTCACAAATCGAACTCCCTTCATTAATCAGATGCATAAGCTCAAAATCTCATAAATTTCACAAAGAAAAAAAGATCAAAACAGAAACTCAGGGTGAAGACTGAAAAAAGTCATTAACAAAAAACACAGAACCCCCAAAAAAACAAAATCTCCTGAAGAATACAACCTGACATTGAACTACCAAATTTCACACCAAAATTGCAATTTTAAAGAGAAATCAACAAATTCCACACCCAAAATTGCAACTTTGTAAAGAACCAATTACTAAAGCAAGCAGTCCTGCAGCATATTAAAACAAGCCTTGATCAAACCTACAAACAATGCAATAAACTTACATTTTGCATATAAAACAAAAGAAAAGCAACAGAAGAGAAGAAAAGACTAAATAGAATAAGTATATGCCCTCACTGATTTACCCAAAAAAAAAGAATTAAGTATATGCAGAACAAGATCAGAAATCCTAGATCAAGCTCAAACATTCCCCATCATTAATTCTCCGCACTCAAAGAAAAAACAAACAGAACAAATCCAAAACTAAAGCAAACTAAAGCAACTATACAAAAGGTAACATAAATCGTAGCTTAAGGTCTCAAATTTACAGAGAAAATCAACTAGGTCGAGCCCTATCCTGCTTCATGAGTATCAAACTAAAGCAAATTTACAGGCATTTTCAGTAAAAAAAATTAAAAAAGAGAAAGGAAAGAACAGACGTACCAGACCCTGTAACACATGTACCCTAGAAGAGTGTCATTAACTTTCCAAATAATTATAGAAAGGACCGGTTTCTATGCGGCCAAGCCCGCATGTGTAGAAATGCAGCCCTCTTAATAAATGTATGGATTTTAAGATTTAATTTTTAAGCACATGGTATCTAACAGGAAAAGATGGATTAACCCTGAACATGTGAGCCCAACGTTTTAAATTGAATATGGGATGACCTGACTATCATGGATATCTAGTATTTAAATTTTAGTTATTTTTTTACAAATCTAAATTATTTAAAATTTTAATCGTATGTTCATAAAAAATAAGTGAATTTTTTAAAAATATCAAAAAATTATTTTACATGAAATAAATTGACAGAAATACCTCCGAAAAAGTTTCAAGAAATATTTTGGTCTTTTTTTTCTCAAATAATTTTTTTATATATTTTTATTAGGTGCGCCTTGATGAGGAGAACGTACATTTAAAATTTCAAGTGATTTGGATCTGTAGAAAAAAAAAATTCAAGCACTACTAGACATCTCGTGCTCATCAGATCAACCCAGATTCAATCTAGGCCGTAGGACTCATATGTTCACATGAGCAAGTGGGCTAATCCCATTTTGTCCCATATCGAACATGAATATGAAAAAATCAATAAATTTTAAAAACTATAAATAATAATTTTAGTAAAAAAATATTTGGACCATTAGTTTTCATTCTTTTTAGATTGCAGCCATATTAAGATAGATGCTTTACACTTTGCCATGAAACAAGTTTCCTAATAGAAAGTTAACATGAAGGGAAAAGCTTATATAGAGCCGAGGCTCTAAACAATCAAATTAAAGCCTTCATTAAAAAATTTATTAGAAGAGATTGTTTTGATGTCCAAATATCTTCAAATCGATCATCTTGACATCAAGATGCGTGAACATGAGAAAAAAATGAATTTCAAGTTTTGAAAATAGTGAGCTTATAATGCATTTTGGACCGTTCATTTTTAAGATTTTCAAGTTTAAATAGTTATGCTTGATTTAAGCTGTTTTTTGAAGTTTAAAATTTTATAATTAAAGATGAAGATATATTTTAAGGCTATCGCCAATATTTTTCAATGTTGAAACCACAATTGTCGATACTATTTAAAGGTGGACTCTACTTTGATTGTTTAGAGACTCAGCTTTATACAAACGGAACCCTAACATAAATAGTTCCTAATAATTCTATCACAACATATAATTTTGGTATAAAAAATTATTAGGATTATTTGAAAATCTATTTTCATATCTAATTATAAGATTTTTAAATTCCAAAACTAACAAAAATCAAGTAGATCTATAAACATATAAAAATCTTGAAAATGGACGGTCTAGATAATATGTTGCAAGAAGCACTATTTCAGGGACTAAAAAAAAAACATTATCTTTTTATTTTTTTCATATGATGTCGAGATGATCAATTAGAGAGTTTTTTAACATTAAAACAACATTTTCCGATGGATTTTTGAGGTGCATCTTTAAATCTATATTTTAAAGTGCAACCTTATATAAGCTTTTTCCTTTAAAATATGTCCTCAATTTTTTCTATCACTCCAATGTACTTTATTGAGAAATTTATTTAATTGTAATAATTTATGTAATATTTCATCTATATCTTTTAATTTAATTTGAAATCAATATATATATAGTCATTAGGTAAATATTTTACTATATAATATTAAATAATCCATCTCGTATAAATGTTTTGATAAATATTTTTTATTTTTAAATATACCCCAAATTCAAAAGTAAGGATCTTGTTTTTTTGTTTTCTTGTTTTTTTTAAAAATAGGGTCTTGTTTTCGTCGTTGAGAGATTTGTTCGGTAAGTTCTAAACCCGTTATTCAACAATTCCAAACTGAAGATAAATTATCTTCTCTGAGTTGGCAAAGGGTTTGAGCAGGCAACCCACTTGTATTAATGTGTGATGAATATAGAAGGGTTTATAATTACATTGAAAGGAACATAATGGGCTTTTAAAAGCCCACTGTTTACAAAATTTTTCACTATTACGTTTGAAAAATATTTTCACGTGAAAAAATATTCTCAAATTTAATCACATGAAGAAATTTTTAATGTGAAAATATTTTCACACCCATTAATTGTCAATTAAAGTAAAAATATTCTCACACCTAACCAAATGAAAAAAAATTTTAAGTCGAAAAATATTGCCACACAACAAAACAAACTTGTACTACATACTCAAGACATTCAACTATGCTCAAGAATTCGATTCTCCATCTTCTATAAACGATTCTTTCGCATTCAACCTTGGATGGAACAAATGCGGTATCGTATATCCAATTTTTAATCTTCCATGTTGTCTTCCTTTGAACCCTTTCGAATGATTTCTTCCATTCTTTCGATCTACAATTTCTTTCTTGCCAAATGACTTTGGCACACTTTAATTTTTAACTGAATAACCAGAACAAAAATTCAAGTTCTGCACCAGTTCACTTGTTTTTTTCTCAAGTAAAAGATCAATTTTTAGCACTCCCAATTCTGAATTAGTCCATAGTTATTATAAGCTTTTTTCAATTAAGTGGGATCAACTACACAAATCCTAATTCACCATTCTATTCTATTAAAAGCTATACCTTTAATGATATGTTATTTTGAACTAGTCCTTCACTCCAAAAAAATATGTTACACAAGAGGTTAGAACTTAGAGTCATTCACGAACAAAACACAAAGTGAGATGATCTAGAAATGGTTGGTATAGAATAAAGCCAAGAACTCAAAATTTTAAACCCGTCCCTCGCTCTAATAAAGAAAGGACCTGGCAGAGGTTATTTTGGGAAAAATAATAAACAAAAAAAAAGAGAAAAAGAAGAGCATCAAGCATGAAAACCGTTGGATATGTTTTAAGGGATAGGTTTCTATACTTCCCCTACCATCCAGCCATCCAATTTTGATCAAGAGAGCCAATCACCGTTTGATCTTAGATCCGACATCTCAAAGTATTTTATTTTTAGTTTTTTTTTATACAAATTGTATGAATATAAAATTTGGTAAATGCAATCTTCTCATTGGGACGCACCTATAAAAAATGTTAAAAATAAATTTCTTTAAAATATAATAACCAAAATACCCCTTGAATCTTTCAAAGGTATTTGATCATTTTATTTTATTGAAAATATTTTTTTTTATATTTTTCGCTAGTGCAAATTTAATAGAGGATTGGACATCCAAAATTTGGTGTCAAAACAGTTTATAAAAAAAAAAAATTTAAAAAAATAGTTTAGAAATATGACATTGTGATTGGGACAATCTTAGCCCTCCATTCAAAATAGAGGGTTAGATAAAGAGAAGTATATAAGTTTTATGCTGTAGAAGAAGCATAAAAAGCTTGCTCATGTTTTAATATTTCAAATATTAACAATATTTACAATAATTTCCCAATATATCGGTATACAGTTCTTTCCTTTTTCACATTTATTCTTAATTTCATTGGATATTCTCTCCTTTCGAGTTTGACACTTAAAAACTGAAATTCTGATTTAAGTTTTCCCTAATTTCTGAACCAGGCAAAATTCAGTTATCCCTTTAAATTTTGGGTCGTTTTCCAGTTAAGCAGCGAGAGAGAGAGAGAATATAAATGATAATTTTAAAAACAGAATACAAATACTAAAAGGAAAAGTATACAAAGAATAGCAATAAATTTAGCAGCCATGGCCACATTTTCACATCCACATCTGATAGGTAGTGTTTTGGGTTTGAGCAAGAGAAATCACCGTACGATTTGTTAAAGAGCAGCGGATCATACATAGTCTTTTATTACCAAAATTTACGGAGACCAATGTTAAAAAACGAAGAATCAGGTGCATACTCACCAATCGTCAGATCTCAGAATACACGACTGGAAAATGGAGAATCATAAAAAAAAAAGAAAAAAACACCCCCAGCTTAAGAATCACCCGAGTCCATACACTGAACCAGACGGTTCACAGTGTACTGCCCAGTTTGGGACCATCTAGAGTCGGGGAACCCCCTGATCAGAGCTGACTCGGGCAATTCGCTTTATGCATAAGATGCCACTTACACAGCATACTTCTTTATAAGAATTCTCCAAGTCTGTTGTTTCATGCATGCTTTGTCTCAAAGAGCTTATTAATACATTGCAGGCCAAAAATGAGGCCAATTTAACATTTACACCAACAAATGGCATTAATCTGTGGATCCAAATTGACCATGAATTATAACAAATTGACTACTATAAACACAACTACATACACAAACATCGCTAAAATATGGTTGCACTGCATTATATTTTTAGCATCTTTCAAGTGGAGTGAAGTTTGGCAATCAGTGATCCAATAGTTTCTTGAGCTCTTTCTTGTTCACCTGTGTATTTGCCACCAGCATGAAAATTCAGTGAAAAAAATGAAAACAATGTGAACTTTAACAAAAGAAAGGGAAAAAAAATTAGAGAAGAGGACCATAAAACATACTACATGAAATATATTCTTTGCATACTGCATATAGTCTTGACCATCCATTATCAATGACTGATAATGTAGAATGGGCATCAGTACCTGAACAGTTCATCTCCACCATCCGTCAGTGAAAGCAGATAGTGGAGACCAACATTTAGCGCACAAACAATATATATAATACATGTAGTATGGTGAACCTCCCCATGAAACAAGGATATGGCAGTACGCATGTTGGAGGCAAGTGAGGAACTGTACCTTTCCCATTGCATTTCGGGGGAGCGACTCCCATAAAAGTAATCTAGTTGGTATCTGAGAGAATCAAAAGCCATGAACACATGTTACAAAAAGCACCTCTCTCTCTCTTCAAAAGCCATGAACACATGTTACAAAAAGCGCATCTCTCTCTTCAAAAGCCATGAACACATGTTACAAAAAGCACATCTCTCTCTCTCTCTCTCTCATCAAGCATACAAAGAGACATGTTTCCATGAGACATAAGAAGCATCAGGCATTTAGATAGAGCCCCTGTTTTTCAACTATTCAGAAATTACTGTCCAAATTCGAAGTACACTTCGAAGCAAGGAAGATTACTTCATCTGCCACCCTTCCATCGACTTTATTTTATAGAACACATATTACAAGAAACAAAATTAAAATTCAAAACAGAATAAAAAAAAACAAAGAAAAATAAATCATGGACAAACCTTATAAGGAGCAAGCTTTTCTTTAGCCCAAGTCTGAAGCTGTTCAAGGGTCATAACAGGTCGAGATTCTTCATCAGCTTTTGCCTTTGCACCAGCTTCAGGTACAATAATGGCACAAACAACTTCCCCGTAATCTTGATCCGGTAAACCCAGTATGCAGCACTCAGCCACATCCGGATGCTGAAAATACCAAACTTTCAGTGGTAAATCTCAATAATAAGCCAGCAAAGGCAAAGTATATACTATTGTCCAAAGGACAACATAAAAACTGCAACTCATGGGATCGTATGACCATTTGATGAGATGATGGATGGGTATGAAGAGCGTGGGACCACCTTTGGGGTCTCTCTCTCTCTCTCTCTCTCTCTCTCTAGCATATTCGTACAGATAAGTTTTCTTCCAGATTCCCGCTCTTTACAGGTTACAATTCATATACTTCATATCTACCATATGATCATAGTGTTACTCTCACGAAATACACACAAATGATATTCTTAACATATCAATTGACTCGAACTAAACTTGGTGATGGAAGGACTCAAATCTCCCTCCCTCATACATTATTTAAAAAGATCTATTGGACATTCCTTAAAAAGAGAAATCACTCCATCACATGTCTCTAATCAGTATTACACATTAGAGAAGAAAGCTCTAGGGTTCCTCAAGAGAAATGTTGGCTCCACATCCACCCTCATATTAGGAAACAACGAAAAAGTACTTGCCCCTAATATTGCTGCTTCGATGTCCAATGCTGATAGTTTATATCCACCAACTTTCAGGATATCAGCACTTGTACCTACGTCATCAGGCAAAAAATGTTATTTACCACAATCTAACCTCGAGACACATGAAAAAAGTGCAAATGATCAAAGAAATAAGTAATTACTGTAGAAACTCTCAAGGCAGATTGATACAAAAACTGAAACTTTGTGGCATGAGAAAGGTATTGTTTTACTAGTATCAGCTTCTCGACTGCCTAATCTAGGAAGAACTGTCACAAAAAATGTAAACCTCACAGAAAGCTTTATCTTCCAGTTTCAATTAATCTTTGATAGACTAAGTTCACCAATTTGACCATCTAATCTCTTTTTTTAAACATGAAATACCAGTTTTACAAAAAAAACATACAGGTAAAGGGCAAAAATTCCAAAGTAATTAGGAAACAGGGCCATTGTTTAGGAGGCCAAATCAACACCATACTAGTGTATCTTATTTTATATTACCAAAATCATACACTTTAAAGCACAAATTCCACTTACGGCCCAAAATTATGTAGTATCCATCGTCATCTATTGTAACTGAGTCTCCAGTCTTGAAAAAACCATCCACAAATGATTCCTTGGTTACCTAAAATAATTGGCAGATGAGAACCAACAAGTATGCAACTTAGGCAAAGCTGTCAAGGTCAAGGTTTACCTAAGCATATAGAAGTAAATGTGGTATCCTTTTTTTTTTTTGGAGAATGAATGTGGTATCTTAAGTTATGCTTCATCTTTCAATCTCTATGCTTTTGAAGGCTCATCACCATAGTTAGCAAGTCCCCGTTTAAAACACAATTTTTTCAAAAAATCTCCGATTTTTTTAAATCCATTAAGATCTCCGAGTTTTTCAAAATATTTTCAAAAAACTGCATTTTTTTAATAGTACCCATATAAATCTGCATTTTATCTTTTTTCAAAAAAAATTTCAAAAAAATTCCTCCCTCTAACTTTATTCATTAACTTGATATTATTGAAATTTGGTTTAAAGATAAGTACATTAACAATGGGAGTAAATTAAGAATCTTGATTCAATAAAAAATTCCATTAAATGTTTCACCAATGAGTTCCCTTAAAAAAGTGCACGAAAAAATACAAGCAATATATTCCCCCCCAAAAAAAGTAACTAAAACAATCGCATATCTCAAAATAATAGTTAGAATTAGAAGAAGAGTAACCCAACGAAAAATCTACTTTTTTGCTTTAAACCCAAAATGTCCTTTTACAGAACAAGAACGATATTCGATGATACTAAAGATTTAGGCAGCTAGGAATTCAGTGCGATATTCAAATTGGCTTAAGCATTTTGTTTTTTATGCATAGAGAAGTTTAATTAATTTTATATTTTATTTTTATTTTTTATTTCATTGGTGTATAAAACATAATCTTTTGGATGGACCACTATTTTACATATTTGGGTCTTCGTGTTTTTCCTAATTAACTACAATCTTATATTGAGGGAGTTTTTTTATTTTATTTTTTGAAAAATAATCTTATGCCTTGGTTTACAGTTCTTGTTATTTGCAAATTAGTTATTGTGTTTAGTATTGTTGTTGCTATTTCATTTTATGCTCCCAATAAATCTATGATATATTTTGTGCTGTGACAATAGAGTAAGCATTGTTGCTGGATTTATTGAACTTTCAACAAAACATTGTCAAGTATTTCTCTAATGACACTAGTAAGGCGATAAAAGTAGTGTTTAACAGCTTTAATATATCTATACAATAGCTGCAAATCATAATCCTATATTGTGTCATCTTTACATATCCGATTTTTTTAACTACATTTTTTAACCAAATCTGAAATATTCACAATTCTATAACTTACCTTATTTTTTGACGATCCATATTTTTGAACCGATTTTTTCCTCCAACTTTTTTAAATAAAACCGATTTATCGCAGATATTTTGGTCTGTCAATATTTTATTATTCCCCGACTTGCTAACTATGCTCAACACATGCAACTTACAAAAACCAGAACAGCTAAGAAGGGTAGGTGTAGGATTATAATTGAGTATTTTCCACAGTATACAGTAGTTGAGATTCCTTTGTAACCCATTAGCAAAGATCTAAGTTACATCCCAAAACAACTGAAGGCTCTAACCCTACAGTTGGAATATCTAATTCCAATTAGGAAGTTATTTGCCTGTCATATGGCAAATAGATAATGTTTTATCTCGAAAAATAATTCAATCGGATATTAAATTAAAGGAACACCTAACTACTATACCTTTACAGAACCACTTTTACAATAATTTATAAACTAGTTGTGCACTCTTACTTCACTCACAGTAGAGTACGAAGAGGCATTATTTTCATAATGGTCATCATCATCATTCTATTTGAATTCCACCATATCTTTAGGTAACCAATACCTTGTTATTATCTCATCAACTGGTAACCATCACAGATTTCCTATAAGTTAGAGAGTCCAAATTTAGTAATTTTTTAAGTGTTTCACGAATCGGTCGAGTACAATGGGTTAGTCTATACCGAGGCAATTATAATTATGCAACTCGCCTAGATTTAAAACTTGGGGGGGGGGGGGAACAGGAAAACATATTTTTTGTTCCAAATCACTATAATATGATTTAGAAATATATTGTTATATGATTTTTATGGTTCTTATGATGATTTGGATACTTTTCTAGCTACATGAACCTTTTTTTTTCTTTTACTCTTTTTTATTTTTCTAAAATGTTTCAAGGTATTAATCAAAATTTTCAATAATCCACATTTTATATACTCTGGCATCTTCTATAAGTGTTTAATGGTTCTTTTACTTACTTTCGATTTTGCTATTTTTATCATTTTAAAAAAAAATTAACTTTTTTTTTTTTGAGTTAGTGGGAAAATTTTATCCCTATACAGGACTCAGCCGTGTCCAATTGAAGTTGGCCGAGTTACTTGGCTCAGGCTAAGGCCGAGTCCGAGGCCCGAGCAAAGTCGGCCCAAGCCAAGTTTAAAACATTAATGTTTTAGCATAACTAAGTCTGAATATCATTATTCCTCATGAAACACATTAAAAAATTGGTATGAGATAAATATCCATAATAATAGGACAAGAAATTGGATCATAAATTGCATTTCTACTCAAAGGGAAGTAGAAAGAACCTCAGGCTTATTCCAGTACTCCTTGAAAAGTGAGGGACTTTTAACAGCAAGCTCACCCTCAGCCGTAGCAGCATTTTCGCTCCCTTCCTCTGCAAGAATTTTGACCTATAAACAGTCACAAGATATTGTCATAAACAAAACTATAAATAATAATATACATAGAAGTTAAAAATGGACATCCGTACATCTCTTCTAAAAGAATTTGAATTAACCTGCACATAAGGGAGTGGTTTGCCAACAGTGCCACCTTTTCGCGCGCTTCTGTAAGGGTTTGATAAAGCCATGCCAAACTGTATATTATCACACATACGATAACTAATTAAAGATTTAAGAGTTACAAAGGTAAAAAACACTTAAAATAATATGAAAACAAAAAGAGATAAACATGATATAAGAATATAAACCGCAAAGATATCAAAATGTACACTACATAAATGCCGAAGAGGAAGCATGACCTACCTCAGTCATTCCGTAGCGTTCCAAAAGGCAATGACCAGTTACATTTTCCCATTGTTTCATCACAGGCAAAGGAAGTGCTGAGGAACCACACATCTGAAAAGGTCATTTGGACCAAATGATAACTATATAGCAAGCCAATTCAACCATATAAACATTTAGGAGGCAAAAGGAACTACTTGATTTATCTTGACAAGAGAAAATCACAAAGAATTAAATCAACACATTTGAGTGTAATGAATAACAGAACCACTGCCATCTTTTGTAGGAATGATGATAAAAAACAACTCAGACTATTTGAATACGACTACTGAACCAACACCATAATAACGCGTCACTTCAGTTGATTCTAGTCATTCTTTTTTAAAAAAATTTCACAGTCAGAAAATAAGCTCAGAAACAGAACAATGAGAAAGGTTGAAGGAGTACGTAAGTCAATACATAAATAGATAAGTGATGTGAAGCTGAGAACGAACAAATTTAGTAGGGATGATCAATCTCATCTGATATTTCTAATTATTTTTTTCTTCAAAAGAAGATAAAAGTCTATTAAGAGGTATTCATAAACTGCAAGCACAATGCACCCCAAAGTTTAGGCCACAGATATAACACCCCAGTTGGCCAAAAATTCATTGGCAAGGCATGTTAGGAATTGGGCTAGGATTGATAGTACAGTTGCTGACGATTGCAATGCTACACTCCATACAGAACTATCCCGTCTCCCCCCCCACCCCCAACCACCCAACAAAATTAAAGTAAAAAAATAAAAAATAAAAACAAAAAAGAGAGGATAAGAGACATGCCACTCGCAAGAGATCAAGCCACCAAACCTGAGCACCAATTGATGGTTCATGGATTTGCTTCTAAATCCAAAGTCAGTTAATATGGCCCTAAGTCCTCTATCCCCTTAAAAGAGTGGATGAAGTTGGTACTTATGAATGCAACGCACAAGCCATCACACAAATAACGCCAACTTCATCCATATCACTTGGCAAGCTATAAAAAGATCAGCTACCAAGAAAGGGCACAAAGGAAACAAGGCACACTGATGTCCGACAAAAGAACTCCAATTAATGGGGACTTCAAATCAAACAATTCTCATGACAAAACTGTAAAAGAAAATGTTGCATGAAGCATCGCATTTGATGAACATAGAGATAGGGGCATAAATTAGTACTTCATACATATTTATGGAGTTTATGAGAAACAGTGGATGAAACAAGGTTTCAAACAACGGCCCGCCAGAGCCTAGGCACCCAAGACACCTCTGACCGCACGCTTAGACCTGGGCGCCCCATTCTGGGGGGATGTACCTGGGCACCTACTCAGGGACGTGGGCCTTTTTTCGATTTTTAAAGATGCCCAAAAAGGCAAAGAGGGTAATTTTGACCCCTTAAATAGGTCATGGGGGTTATTTTCAACCCCTAAAGTTAAAAGAACACTTCCATAAGCCCTCAATCTTTTAGACATTTGGATGTTAGACTTTTCGCCTTTTTAGACTATTTTGTTGTTTGGTTTTATGCTTTTGTAAGTTTGTTGAAGACTTGGAGAGTTGGAGACTTGGAGTACATGTTATTATGGAATATGGAGAGTTGGATACTATTACTAATACATAGCATATAAGACTTTTAAATTTTGTATGGTTTCAATTTTGAAATTTTGAACAAGTGTATCCTCAACATGAGATATGCCATATGCTTGTATATAAAAATGTATGTTATAATATTTTCAAATGCAATAAATTACGAAATTGACACAAAATAGCATATATGCGTTGAGACAACACATCTATAAATATATCTAAAGAATTTGTACTGCAGGGCGTCTGACGTTCTGGGCACTGCCTGGGTGCTGAGTGCCAGGCCGGCCGCCTAGCATTTTTTGAAACCTTGGCATGAACCAAAATGCAGGGAATATTGCATTCCAATGTAATACTCCAACAAATAAATAAAGAGGACATATGTTTTATGCAGTGAAATTCTAATTACTTATTCCTAAATTGTAGAAATGAATTTCAAAAGGCATCTTGCTATAAGCCTATAGGCATTAGTCTTTACGGGAAAATGAGAACACATATCCCACAAAAAGCAACTTATCATACTAGAAATATTGCAAAAAGTAATGTAAGAGAGAAATTGTCGAATTTTACCATATGACTAGAAATGAATTTCAAAAGGAATCTTGCCCTAAGAAATAAGCCTATGTTACATGAATACGAGAAAATATATACCACAAAATGTAAGGGAGAACTTGTAGACTTTTACCATGAGTCGTAACTGGCGTGCAGCATATGCAGATGCAGCTTGTGATTCAGCATCCATCCCTCCATATCCTTGTACTAATCTAGTATACATCGTTGGAACCTAAAAAAGAAAAATATCATTCAAACATGAGGAGTGAAAACTGCAACAGTCATAGGATTAAGATAAGCATCATCAAAACCAAGAAAATGTTTCATTATAAGAAGAGAGATGTTTCCATTAGATTGTCATCTTACCCAAAAACAATGCAGGGATGGTGGTTACTCGATAAGAAGGAAAAGAACCCGTTACTTACATTAAACAAGTAGAGTGAGGCAGGGGACAAACTACCTCAAAATATATTCAAGTTTGTTATCAAAGCCATTTATATCATAATGATAAATCATAACAATAAAAGTAATGATGATGATGACGATGATGATGATAAACTTGATTTCGAAGCTATTAGTAGTCATTCAGGCCTACCCTCATACGTAAGAACATCAGAATTTTTCCAGTAGCTGCTTGGATATGGTGCAATTCACCGATGCAAATGATCAACTAAATTCCCAACCAAGATAGACTCTATTGAAATTAGAACATAAACTTTCCAAAGACCTAGCAAAAGATAGACTCAACAGATCTAATCTTTTGAAATTAATCAAACTCAATCCTCTCCCAAAAAAAATGTACTTTAAAAAAAAAGGCCTTTATCAACTAACCAAAAAAACCATACTAATCCTATTTCTAAAAATTAGAAGCACACTCATAAAAATAATAACAATAATAATAATAATTAAGTCCACAAAAAATTGAGAAGAATAAAAAAGTACTGAATCCATCTGATCTTGATCTGCATCATCTAGTCAATAGTTAATGCTCAACCATCAACTAAATCCTATCAGGACTCAAGTTACAAATAAAATTATGCCAGTAAACAATAGAAATAGGAGACTTCAATCATGAAGACCCACATGCAGATAATTTGCAGACACCACTTACTCCTGTAAACACAGTGATAGCATCATCAGCTTTACTTCCATCTCTTGGGTATGATTCTCGCCATCTCTGCCAGATCCCTCTTACAGTAAACTTCGGCAGGAACTCAACCTTCAAAGGCACCAGGTACAAATATTATTCCATTGCACCCAGAACATAATCCCGACATCTCAGAAAAGCCTTACTAAGAGAGATTAAATGAATTCATAACCAAAAGAGTTCTCACGAAAAGAAACAACTGTGAAGGGAGAGAAAGTAATTACCGCAGCTCCTGCATAAAGAGGGGCAAGCAAAGCATTGAAAAGACCATGCACATGTAGCATAGAGAGTCAAGGTTGGTTCAGCAGAGTGAATGGCACATTCAGGGAACAGGTAGTCCATTACAACTTTCAAATATTTGCCAAATTAATAAAGTTTAGTTTGAATTTGTAACAAATCTCAAATGATGGATATGATGTAGTGGTAAGCAGTGCAAAAATTGATCAGCAGATGAATACTCCCATGCCTCTGTCAAAATTTGGACCTGCACATGAGAAAGTGAAATCATTGGAGTGTAAAGCTAAACTATTGACTAGGAAAATAGAATTATGTATTGATGAAGCAGAGGTTAAGAAAGTAACCATACTACAAGTGATTTTGAAGATCTAATGATGCCTGAATAAGTCATCAATTTACTTAAGCACTATTTCTAACTAGAGGAATAAATTGTAGAGGAATCAAATGCAAGCTCTCCCATACAGTTCATAAGAACGATGCAGACTTTAGGTATCATGACATGTCAAACGTATATTGATTAGTAACTAGTGTAAATTGCAAAACTTGTTCCAATTTATTCATTACACTTGCTTAGATGATCTAGAACTTTAACCAAGAATTAAAGCTGGTGTATGTCTCTATTTAGTAAAAGGGAAAACTTACTATACTTCCCCACCCATGTATATTTTTCCTACATCCCTCATCTCCCAACTGTCTGATTTGAATGGATGGCTGAGATGACCCCAATCCCAAAGTCACACCTATACACTATTTTTTTTTTAATTTTTCTACAGAACATTTGGATACTAAATTTGGGGCGTCCACTTCTCTCTTAACCTCCCACCTGCAAAACATTTTTAAAAATATATTCTTAATAAAATAAAATACTATTAAGAATAAAATAACCAAAATACCCCTGAAAGTTTCAACGGTCTTTTGGTTATTTTATTTTTTAAAATATTATTTTAATATTTTTTAGGTGCGCCCCACTAAGATGATGACACGTACCAAATTTCATATTCATATGATTTGTAGAACAAAAGTTAAGAATAAAATACTCTAAGATGTCAGATTTAGATCAAACGGCCAGTAGCTCACTTGTGACATTATGGCTGAAGCCATCCGTTCAAAATCGGAGGGCTGGGAGATGGGGATGTAGGAAAAACATATATGGGTGGGGAAGTATATTAAGTTTTCCCTTAGTTAAAAACTTCGGGCCACATCGCCAAACCAACTCCCTGTTATGCAACTACATTATGTTTCATTCTTTTCTTTAATAACCTCTAAAATCAGAAACACCAAATGTTTAAAATCATAATTTTTTTGTGAGCTAAGGATAGCAATCCTCTATATGCCATGTTAACTTCCACCCTATGTTATAAGTGCATGGCCCCAAGCGTTATCATCTAACACACATACATGTGTTAGAAATGCCAACCCCCTGAAATTGGCCTTTTAGACATGACACTTCCATACATTATTTAGGGGGTGAGTGGCACTGTTACCTAGGCACCAACACATGTCTAAGTATCTAGTGTGTCACACAAAAATTGGAGTACAGCAAGACACGTCCATGCATATGCATAATTTATAATATAAAATAGTTATAAATATAATTTTGATACTTTATCTACAAACTTGATCCCGCCCCTTTTGTAGGAAGGTAAGCACTTCGAACCTCAAAAGTGACACCCTTTGTTATTGTACCCTTTGTATTATATAACAAAAGTTTTAGTATTACATTCACTACCACATGGTCTACCATAAGGGGTCGTGAGTTCCAATCCTGAGGCTCAACCAACAACAGTTTTCTTTAAGACGTATCTTGAGGTGTCGACATGTGACATCAGACACATTATGCCGTGCCTGGGTAACATTGGTGGGGACAAAAAGACTTTCATGGTAAAATTTCAGCATTAAAAGTCATGTAGAAGTGGCTACTTTTTTAAGTACTTGTTTAAGTGTTAGACATGCATATCTTGTCCTTAGAGTGTTGACAGGTGGCTGTAACAGCCCTGGACATGTGTTCATGTTGCATAGCTTTCAACAGCTCTGCAAATAACTATTACTTATAAGAATACATAATATAGTTCTCAGAACAAGAGAAAAGATGAATGACTGGTAAGATTGTAAAATAAGATCAGTATATTGATAAAGTCAAATTCCAAAACCATCTTCATTTCATTTCTTTACTTTCACACTATTCCTCTCTGTTTCTTTCCATGTTTTTTAAATATTTCCCTAAAAAATTTTCACTCATTGGCATCGAACATATGTTCCTGGAACTACTTATTGACTAAAAAAACCTAACATAAGAATACTCATCCATAAATTTATGCTTGTCAATGTGTAAGCAATTGATGATGATGAAAATAGGAAAAAAATGTGCATACAGATCTTAACAAACATATTTAGGAATCCTAACGAACATATTACATACTACATAAATTCCACATATTAAGAGTCAATTCATAACATTTGATGGCATCGAACCAACATTACCTGCGCTTTAATTCCATCATGCGTGTGAACAACACCCTTAGGCCTGCCTGTTGTGCCACTTGTATAGACAATCAATGCAGGGTCATCTCCTACACATCCAAAATAGCCCTCATAGTCCTCAGGTGCCCAACAAAGGCCACCACTTCTTTTTTTCCCTCTTTTGATAAGTGAGAAACATAAATTCGTCAAAAAGAATCTCACCTTTTGCAGCTTTTGTTTTCTTCAAATGGTCCCACAGGGCAGTGAGGCTACCCACTTCTACTGCTCCAGAGGCCTCATGGACCCCACTATCTGATGAATTACTCGGAACACAGGGGATGAGAGAATAATGTGCAGAACACTTAGAAGCAACATTCTCCATAAGCTCTCCGTGATCTTCAGTGCTTAGAAGGACAGAAACATCCTACATATCAAAGATTTATAGAACTTTCTTTGTGGTCATTACATGGCATGGTGTTCTGTTATGCTTCTGGCTCTTACTTATTCAATGCTATGGATAGTAGGAAACACAAGTGCAATTAATCAAGAAACCCATAAAAGATCTCCCAAATCTGTATCATAGTTATCTAGGTTCTGAAACAAGCCCCTAATCTATTTGACATGACATGAGTTGATACAGATTGAGATAGTCCTATATCACCCTTCCACCAAATTATATTCTAGTAAAAAAATGTCATTTCAAAAATAACTGATCAGTCACCTATATTTCTGGATTATAAGTATTCACAGCCCCAAGTTAACAGTCAATAGATTGCCACTAACATCATCTTTTGAAAATAGAAGTTGGAGAAAGAACAATGCATGTATTCCTAAATAGGAATTTATTTCATATCCATCCACAGATGTCATTCAGATAATTAACAAGCTCATTTCAGAAACTATTCATTATGAATTTTGAGACCATTCATGTATTTTCGCTTAAGTTCCTAAAACCTGAAAATGTGCGAGGAATACAGAACAAACCGAGTCATTCATCACATGAAAGAGTTCAGCTTCTGGGTAGCTAAGCGCAAGGGGAACAGCCACTCCACCTCCAAGCCAGGTCCCCAACATACTTGCGACAAATTCGGCAGAGGGTTTTGCCACGATACCTACTCGTGCTCCATCAAGATATCCTTTTCCTTGAGCAACTTGCATTGACTGAAATGATTTTTCAGTAGTTGTTACTTTCAATGCCTAAATGAAGGCACAATGTGCCAATCAGTTTCGTTTATGGCAGAACAAACTATTTGTGACTTGTAAGCAATGAAATGAGGTAATACTGATCATGCAATCATCAGAGGCCTAACAATCTCCAAACATGAACCATAAACCCTTTTTTTTTTGATAAAGTAAAATGAACCATAAACTTAATTCTTCTCTCAGGAAAAAGTGGATATATCAGAACATTACCAGCACACCTGGAAAGATTATATAGGTAATGCACAAACTTGAAATATCAGGACAGTACCTGAACTTGTTTACTTATGTATGACTCCCTATTGTTCTCACTTACTTCTTGAAAATTAGACCCCAGTTAACGAGGTCATGAAATGATTAACAATTCCGGGTACCATCTTGGTATTTCAAGTTTGGAGATCACCTGCAAGACCTATGTGCATTTTCTAGGTACTTTTCTGATACTTCTCCAGAAAATTGAGCAAATGAAGTTTCTATATAATGAAGGTAATCAATGCAGATCCTATAAAAGCAAAAAGAAAGTATCATTCATTAGAGAATATCTCGAGGCTGTTGAGGCGAAGAATCCAAAGTGAGGTACTACCTAAAGATTGAATGCTTCCATTCAATCTTAGGACAATTTTTTTCCAAGGCACATATAAAGCATGACATGAAAGTTTCTTTTCTCAAGTTTAGTCTCTACGTTTAGGATGTTATACTCCCACGGCCGTATAAATGAGTGCATACATAAGTTTACCCCCACTTCTAAATTTTCCAAAAGATGTAGTTCCGGTGTCGGAAACCATAAGATGGCTTGAAAAACCACGTTCAAACCTAATTATGAAATTTAAAATTCTAAATATTTTGCAGATCGAGCAAGTAAAAATTTATTACATAAAAGATATACTCTTCATAGAATTCATGCAGTGCCCAAATCAAACTTACCTGTAATAAGTTGGATATCTGCCAAGCTGAAGAGAAGAGTTGACCATAACTATGACTTCTCTTTTCAAATCGCACAGCAATTCTTTCATGTGCCACAGATGTTAGGTGTGTAGTTGCTTTTATCATATCCATGGGTGTATCATACAACGATGCTGAAGTATCAGCAAAAATGGGTGTATCAGAAAAAATGACACAAATTACTGTAAAATAAAAATATAAATTCAGAATGCTTATTCAGACAAATCAGATCCTTTGGACATCAGATTTTACAAGCCTTTAAAGGAATTCCTGGACCCAGACTGATAAAAACAACATAAATTTGGGATGATGTCCATCAAAACATAGAAGGCACACAATTCCATTGGAGTATTTTATCAAAGGTTTCAACTGGCCCCAATACTCCATAAAGTCTGAAGCAATGACATTTATTAATTCCAAAACACATAAAGGTCTACCATAAGATTCAGCTACTTTTTGGTTATGTATCTTATAAGTGAGCATGAGGGTATGCAACATTTGATAACCCATTGCGAGAATTAGTCAGAGCGCTAGGCCTTCCATGTTGTACAGATTAAGTCCATAAGCCAACTTTTGTTTCAAGGACTCGCCGAGCTTTTCAAGAAGAATACACTAGTGCTTAATCCACCAATAGTGCATATACCCTGATTACCATACAGTCCTTAAGGTGAAGTTAATCATATAATCATTGAAACTAGTTTTGCAAGAAAGGAAGTAGAAAATTTACTTCCATTGCACATTAGATAGAAAATATTAGCAGAACCACAAAGCTGCCTCATTTTGTGGCCAAGAATGATTCGCAAATGTTTCCGCACCAAAGGCACTGGTAAAGGGAAGTGTCAAATATCAGCTTGGAATCACTCATCTTCATTCTCCTGATAAGGTGATGCATAGATATAATTCATTTTGGCTTTCGTCATTATTATTTTCTTGTGTATTCTACTGTTAGATTTCTCCATGATATGTTTTGCCGTCCACAAAGTTCACTAAAGGATAAATATAATTTGTATTCCTGTAAGAAACAATAAGAATCAATGCCAAAAGTATTCATCACCCAGACTTTTAGTTATCTGGTTTTGGAGCCTGTACGTCAGACTTCACATGATATCCAAAAATTAAATACTAAACTCAGAGTGTGGGAAAGTTATTTAATCATTAGATTTGAAAATCCTCTAAACTGAGCAAAAAACATCTGATAGACTGGGAAAATTCATATTGCTACAAGTGAAAATATGAAGCACTCACAATTATGGACATTTTCTGCAATAGTAATGGGGTGAATTCTCTTCTTTTTTTTATCCATGAAGGGGCAAATTCAAATTTATTCTCTTTTCTTCGATGAATAAATATTGGTTTTCTCTTAAATAACTTTCATTGAAATGCAAAGAGCTTACACATACAGGTACTTGAATTAAAATTCTCAGCAGATCCCCAAGGGACGTTACATTCGGTGTAAAGACAGAATTAACTCTTTTATTGTACAACTTAAGAAATAATATCCAATCTTATCTACAAATTCTTCACTTTCCTTTATTAAGATATTTTCTCCCTGCATTCCCAATCAAAACTGTGATTCACCTTATAAATGAACTTTTCATCTTTCCGCAAAGCCCAGAAAATCAAACAAAAAATCCCAACCATCTGAACCAGAAGGCCATCTAGAACAGCTGGTGCTCATAATTTACAACTTTTTCTTAAATTTTTTTTTGATAAAATTTTTTCTTAATTGTTTTATGTAATGGAATCAAGAATTTTAGGATTGAAGTCAAGAGGATGCATATACAGTCAAATTCAGCCACAAATTTCCCAGTTATCTCAACCAGAATCAGTTTTGCAATTGTTTGAAACAAGACTTCACAAACTGGAATCCCATCTTAGTTCAGGAAAACCAATTTCAAATTCCTTTCTTTGCTTTAATCAGAAATCATATCAAATTACAAACAGCAAATGAGCTTCTCAACCAACAAACCTTTTGAGCAAAATTACTTGTTCCTCTCTCCTCAAATACTACTTAATACAGTGAGACCAGCAAGCACCCAAGTAGTTTTTCTTTTTCTTTTTGAAACGGCAGGCCCAACTTCAATAAGATACTGAGATGTTCTTAAAATATTGGGATAAATGATCTTGAGAGGCATGATTTTATAACTGTAAAATCGCTGTAATTTGAGGCTTACACAGTCTAAAGAGAAGTCGAGATAAACTTATGGTTATATGATAGAAAATGAACAAGAGAATTCTCAGTAAAAATAGCTTACATCAAAGGAAAAAAACTATCGGCAAAAGAAAAAAGGAAAAGCTTACAGAAAATAAAAATAAAAAAAAGAACAAGAACAAAAAGCTTGCAATAAGAAAAGGAAGGAACAAAAGCTCACCAGAGGAGAAACAGGCTTTAGAATAGGAGCGTAAAGACCGTGAAGGTAGCCTGTAAATCAAGTAAATTCTCCCCAATTTCGCATAACTTGTGAGATTGCAGACAATCGGCATGGATATAAGCCGAAAGTTACGTCACTTTTGGAGTTTTAAGTGAGAACATGGGGTCCCATCAATGGCCGACCCTCTTCACCTGCCACCATTCAAAAGCAGTTAAAAAGTGGAACCATCAATGCCGCATCTTTTGTTAACAAGGTTGATATTTAAGCTCCGTCAAACTGTAAAATTACCATTTTGGGCACCATTTCAGCACTGTAGAACTGAAACAATGAGGTTTCCGGTAATGATTTGGCATATGTACATGAGTAAGATTAGGGGTTTGGACATTTTTTAAGATGACTAAGCGACTTTAAGATTGTGAAGCTATGAATTAAGGACTTGGGTTCCGATTAAGAAATTCAAAGAACTTACAAATACGGATTTTAGATGATGATTCAGTGACTGTAAAATGAGAAATTGAGGCTTCTGGATTATTATTCAAATACTCTAAAACTACGAAATTCTACAGTTTTGAATGCTAAATAAACGACCATATAACCGTAAAATCATGGTTCTTGATGCTGAATCAGCTGTTGTAAAAGTGTGAATTCAGGGTTATCGATGATCATTCAGCAACAGTCACACTGCGAAGTAAGGGTTTTATGGTTCACAGACTGTGAAACTGCAATAAATATAAATATACATATATTTATGGGTTTAATTAAAATATGTGAATAGAGTTTTTTATAAATAAAAAAAAAAAAAACTCCGATTGGTGGCTTAACCCAAGCCACCAAAATCATTCCCACTCAAATTGAGTGGCTCCGGGTGAGTCACAAATCTCTTGACAACACTTTTTATTTATTTTTCTTATATCTAACACTTACAGAGCCCAATGGGAAAAGTTGATATAGGGCCTAGGCTCTAAACCATCAAATTAGAGCCTACCCCGAAACTTTCTCTAGAAGAGGTTGTTTTGATGTCGAAATATTGTCAAATTGATCATCTTGATATCAAGATACATGGACATTAGAAAGAAATAGATTTCAAGTTTTGAAAATAGTACATCTTGCGACGCATTTTTTAACTGTCAATTTTCAAGTTTTCATATATCTACTTGATTTATATTATTTTTTATATTTTAAATTTTATAACTAAAGATGAAAATATAATTTAAAGCTATCACAAAACTTTCCAGCGTTGAAACTATCTTTTATGAGACTGAAAATGGGCTTTAATTTGATTGTTTAGAGCCCCAGCTTTATACAAACTACACCCACTTAAAATAGGTGTGTTTTCTATATAAAGTTGCAACCTTAAACAAACCAATTAAGATACATCCAAATTTAATCATAATTTGAAATTTTGGTTAAAAAAATTTTAGGAGTATCTCAAAATTTATTTTTATATCTAATTATAAAATTATAAACTTCAAAAATAGTTAAAATCAAGTAGATCTATGAACATATGAAAATCTTGACAATGGACGGTCTAGATAATATATTGCAAGATGCGCTATTTATTGGACTCAAAATCTTTTTTTTTTTCCATATTCATACATCTCGATGTCAAGATAATCACTTAGAGGTTTTTTTAATATTAAAACAACCATTTTTTGATGCATTGTTTAGATGCATCTATAATTCTACATTTTAAGGTTGCAACTTTATATAATCTTATTCCATGTATAAAAGATAAAGAACGGCATTTTCTATAAGTCCATGTAGAAACGACCCACCTCTTAAAAATTTATTTTTGAGATAGATTTCTTACCTAATTTTTTAGGATATGTAATATCTAACATGGATATCATGCATATGAAAAAATAAAGAGATTTTTAAAATTATCAATAATAATTCTATTAAGAAGAAATGTTGACTATTCGTTTCAATTGTTTTACAATGGACCACTAATTTGCGTCCATCATTGAGATGGATGTTTTATACCTCGAGAACCGCAAATGTAGAAATATGGTCCCCCTACATGAAACAATTTTCCAAAGATAATAGTTTCTTTGTAGAAAATATCTTAAAAATTGAAATAAGAGATGGGGTTTCTATGAGTCAGCCAACTCATACTATAAATATGCAGGCATCATCTTAAACCATCTTAGAAATGGATTTTTAATCTAGATATTCATAATTTAGGTTAAGACGATCATGAACATGAAAAAAAAAACTGATATTTAAAATGTGATTTTTTTTGAAAAAAATTCTACACCGTATGAACATTGTGAGTTTTTTACAACGTCCATCTTAAAGATGGACGTTGGTGAGTCAGCGAGCTCTTGCAACCGCTGACTCATGAAGGACTTTTCCTAAAGTAGGTGAAAAAGATCATCAATATCAAAATAGAAAAGTTATATGAAGAAAAATAAGAGAAACAAAAACTACAATAATGTGTTCTTCTTTTTTCTATTAATGAAAAATTCGGGTAGCGGGCTTTCTCTCTCACTGACTTACCCAAAAAAATATATACAAATATAATAAATATAATAGAGAAACTTACAAGAATGTTAGCATAAATCTTTAGTTAAAACGAAACAGGGATTCAATTAAATGTTTTGATTATAGAAACCCCACAGAATTTACAAACAAATAAATATAAACAAACACATAAGAGGATAGAGCACTGCTATTTGATTATAAAATAATACCATAGTTAATAAATCTTCATTAATGCATAAAAGTATTAATATGAAATACTGTTAGGTGGGAAATGACAAAAAAAATGCCAAAAAATATATTGGGTGCTTATTGTTTACTGGGAAATTACAAAAGAAAAGAAAGAACGAAATATAACCATAAGGAGAGAGGACCACCATATGAGCATTAATGTGTAGAAGCATCAATCAGAAGTATTATTAGGTGGGGTACACATCAGAATGATGAATTTAATAAAGCTTCGAGCCTCTAGTGATGGACACAAATCTTGATTAATGAATTGCTCTTGGAAACTTATAAATGTAAAAAAACAAAGAAGATATCATTTAAAGGATCGCAACTTCTTACAAAAGCATTTAGAGTGTCAAAAGATCCTAATTAACATTAGAATATTTATTTTTTTATATTTTTTCACTCAAGCACTTCTCATAAAAAATATGATAAAAAATGTCTAAATTGTTCTTTCTCGGGGTTGGGAAGCTTGAACACTCAAGGGCATTTCAATAATTTTATCAATCTAAGAGAACCTGGCCAAATAACATAAATATCAAAATATTTCCAAAAGTGAAATCCAAAATCTGAACATAATAGTTTAGGCATTTCCAAAAATATTATTTAGGAGGCACTTAGTGAAGCGAAAAATAAAAAAATAAAACATCACCTTTTGACCTTCTTAATGATTTTGTAAGGATTCTGAACCTCTCAAATGATAACTTCCCAAATATAAAATCTCCTATTTTATTCTGAACATTTATCCCCTTAATCTAATGAGATTGACTAATGCACGAGGTTGGTGCCTTGGGCACGTTCTTTAGGTTTTTCTCCCTGTTACATCCTTGTTTACTTTTTGCAACTTTTTTCAAAGAACTACTACTGTGTTTTTCATTTCCATTTTACTCAATATTGCTTTCAGGTGTTTTCACTCCACCTAAATAATTGGTCAATTTACAATGGGTTTTTCCATATTTTCACCACACCCATCTTTCTATATATTTATTATTTATTGATGCCCTATTAGGAACTCCCTAGGTCCGGTCCTAAGTCAGTCATGCCGGTCTCAAGCTCGAAAAAAAGGAGGAGGGCAGCCAAAACAAACATGTGCCACCTCTTTTCATAAATCATGAATCAATGTTATATGATGTTGATGATGATGATAATGATCTATTAGGAAATAAGGAGTGTACCTCAATTTTAACCAGGAATACTGCTTCCATTCCATAGACCAGCAAGGATGGTGTCACACCAGTCACTATCTTTTTCATAGTCCAATAGGCCCACAATGCATCATGCATTTTCTTATGCCAAACAATTGCTTCTATACCTTTCCAGTGATTTTAATTAAGTTTTGTTTGTTGCTTCTAATAACCATTTTCTTGAGGGTAATAAATGAAGGACCCGGTTTCTATGCGGCCAAGCTTGCATACGTAGAAATGCGGGCCTCTTAATAAATTTACTTTTTAGATGGATTTTAAAACTTAAGTTTTTATGACATGTAATCTCTTACTTGGAGAACATGAATATGAATGAATAAATAAATTTTAAAATCTAAAAATAATAATTATAGTAAAAAAACATTTCAACTGTTAGTTTCCATTGTTTTAAAATGGAACACCTAATTGCATCTATATTTAAGATGGATGCTTGACACTTTTTGTACCGCATATGTAGAAATGCGGACGAACCCACATTAAACAATTTTCCATGAGGGATATTCCCATGTAATGTACATTCACAACTCCTTAATTTCACATGTGATGGCAAAAGTCATCACTAACTTTTTTTATGTAAAAGACAAAAGGGAGGTTTGTATAAGGTGCCCACCTTATACTATATAAGTAAGACCTATCTCTAAATTTTGCTTGAAGATATAGTTCCAGTGTCAAAAATCTTAAGATGACTTGAAAATCCAAGTTCAATCATAATTATCAAATTTAAAATTGTAAAAAAAAGGTATAAATTGAGCAGATCTTTAAGCATTTGAAAATTTTGAAAATAGATGGTTCAAATGACTTATTACAAGATGCACTAATTTTAAGGTTTGGGTTCTTTTTTTAATTTATTATCCTACATCTCGAGTTTGAGATGATCAATTGTAAGGTTTTTAACTTCGGAACACTCTTTTCTACGATTTTGACATACACCTTATTTATATAGTATATGGTTTTAACCTCATATAAATTTGTTTAGAAGACAAATAGCCTCATTTTATATTTTCCTTCGCAAAAACAATAAATTACAAGAATAATAATGAAAAAAAAATACATCAAAGGAAGCAACATTACTTAATTGTTGAGGAAATAGAGATGATGCATAGATAGTGGAGATTCCAAGTATGCATATGTAGCCTTCTAATCCGGGCAGTCCATTCACACTAAACCAATTTTAGATACAAGATTACATATTGAGATTCTTGATCTTGGCCGTCCATTTGGACTTAAAAAACGTGGACAAGAAGTACTCAAGCTGCATGATGAGGGTGGCCTTTGGCTTTTGGTGGTCCCAAGACTAGTAACATCAAAATTATTGGAGGACATCGGGCCTGGGCTTTAAGTTGTTACACTTCTTATTGCAAAATAGAAATGCATATGATGGGACTTTTTATTTTTGATACAAGAAGGTTACAACCTTCATTACCCTTAGATTTGAAATCGTATAGTTGAGAAACAAAGTTCAAAATAAAATTTCTCGAATGTTGTGACACTCTTTCATCTAAGATTTTACATCTAATGGTTAAAAGTGATTATAATCTCCAATAACAAAAAATAACTGATTTCATAGCCTACAATCCCTTAAAAAACTAAAAAAAACTATCAAGCCTCAAATGGGCTTCTAGATTATTGGGCCTAGCCCAACAATAGAAGGAGGTGGAAATCATGAGAAAAGGTATGGCAAAGAGACGTGGGCAGATGTGCTTGTGGGTTCTTTGACAAGGTCCAACTAGGCCCAACTAGCAACTTCATGAAGGATACATTGACAAATGAAATTTTAAAGTTT